AACAAAAAATAATGTCTTCATTTCTTGGTTAATTATGCATATTTAAGTTCGATGTTGCGTAAATTTCATGTTAGTATCTCGTCAGAATTTTAAGCAAAGTGTCAAGGAAATGGTGTATCCTCAAAATGAAAATTCACACAAAAAAATCTCGATTGTGTAAGACCCACTACTCGCTCTAATTACTAAAAGAAAATCTTTATTGTTGGATACCATGTACCCCTGAATAGGAGATTGACCCATCTGCTGTCACACCTACATGTACTGCATTGATCTTTCCAAACAATTGAAATTGTGAGAAAAGGGGGGGGGGGTGGGCTTGGACATTTCTTTTAAAATCCCAAATGTAGTCAATGGGATTCAGATCCGGGAATTTGACAGTGTATCGTCACACAAATGCCTTTTGGTCAATACCCTTGGGTTTTTAACACGTTAGTGCGCCGCTTTCGGGATAATTCAGACTGTTTGAGCTGATAGAAGACTGCCTTGAGCACCAATTTCTTATCATATCCATACGATTGAAATGATTTGTTTCCATGTTTTTAACAATTTTTTCAGGACAGTTTAACACTCTTTTAATCTGGTGTGAAGCGAAATCTTCCTATCAGAAGAAGATCAAGGTCACTTCCGGTGTGGTAAATTTTGTCAAAAACTTTCAAATTGTGATAAATTAGTGATGAAAAATGATCACAGTCTATAGAAAAATGTGTTTAAATGGGTTTTGATACTGTTTGACAATTTTGAAAAGTAATATGAAGTACAATTAAGCACTAAAATAAAAGTGAGTAAAACGTGGTGTAAAGATGGTCCAGATAGCAACATTCCAACGGCTCTATCTTCTATCTCAATGGTCATTTAACTAATGTTTTGTGTTTTTTAGTGAAACCAAATTTTTAGATTTGATAATGATCACAAAAAGATGCTTATTACACAAAACACATGCCGCAAAGTACAAATTTATTGTTTTTAAGCTTCGTCACGGAACATTGGTTTTCATCAGTGATATTGAATTTTCTTTCTACAATTGTTGAGAAGACTCATTTATTGATATAATTTGAAAATATCATACCATTCTATAAAGTAGTTTTTATATAAAGACATTTATTAAAGTGAACACTTAGAAGTTTTGTTAAGTGTATAAGCAATTACTAATTTATCATTTTGAAAAGTTTGAAAATCTTGTGACAAAGACTTTTCCGACATACTGGTTCTACATTAAGATGGAGATATTTGTGAGAAAGGCTAACACTCTTATTTAATAAAAGCTTAATAGATATAATATTTTTTTTTATTTCACCAAATTTGAAATTCAAAATAATTATGTTAAAATGTTTAACAATGTCATACAAATTAATGTTAAACAATCCATATTTGGCAGTAAAAAATGCTTCCTTCTTTAACCTAACAAAGTACAAGTATATACATATCTGGGTTACTGGGACATTGAAATCATTCTATATTCATCTCCAACCAGGAAGTAAATAATTAACAGTCAAAGTCCGACTAAATCTCTTTCATAATTGCAAAGTTTGTTTGTCAACAGATATATACATTTAGAAATCATATCTGCATTAAAAGTAAGTACAGGGTTGTCTGCAGACAAGAAATTATTTTTTTTTCTTAAAAGGACATTGATTTTTTGTTTATTAAAGTCCTGTGACCAAATTCTTTTACATAATATTTATAATATTAATTTATTTACAATAGAGCAGTAAGGAACATTTATTTCATTATGGGGGTGGCCCTCTTCAGTCTATAATTAGAATCAGACAAAATAATGTAGTTCAGCTTAAACAATTAAATTAAATATGTAAAACTGTTGCAGTTTCAGAACCCATATATGCATGTAACTAACTCTAAAATGATAATTTCAGATGGCACTTTCCAAATCAAAAATTCCAGGCACTGCCCAACACTTTCTAGAATGTGGTTTTGAAGATTGTGAGAGAAATTGTGAATTTTACTGTAATTCCTGTCATCATCGCATGTGTAAACAATGTAGAGACCAACAAATAAAGATTCCAGAAAACAAGAACCATGAAGTAGTCCCTTACCAGCAACGTAGACAACAACTTCCTGTGATGAAATGCAAGATCAACCCCAACAAAGAAATAGATATTTACTGCAAAGACTGCAATATTCCTTTATGTTCAAAGTGTTCAACAATGCAAGTGCACCAGAAACATTGTTTTATTGATTTAGAATCTATTTACACAGAGAAATTTGAACTTTGCCAAAAAGAACTCTCTAAAATCCATAATTACTTTGTTCCTACATCACAGGATTTACAGAGAGAAGTTCGGGGAAGATGCCACAGAAGTTAAACAGATCATGGACAGCATACGTACATCCATGAAGGCTAAAGCCGAGTCTCTCAAGAACATGGTGGACACAGTGCTCTCAGAAAATATGGAAGAATTAAACCAAATAGAGAAGTCATTACTTGTGAAATTAAAGAGCCAAGAGAAGACATTTGATGATTATATTGCCTATCTCAATGACCTTGTTAAGGAGTTCCAGAGTTACCTGTCCTCTACTGAGCTCTCTAACTTCACAACTCAACTTCCAGACAACTTAAAAATAAAATCCATTCCAGAAACCACCAAACCTGTCACACCAGAATTTTCATCTGCTCAATATTGCAAAAATGATGTTGCTAAATTATTAGGGAAAGTAAATAAATCAGATAGAAAGGCAGAACTAAGAAGAATAAAGCCAATGGAAATTCCTCCTATTGCTACATCAATGAAATCTACAAGTAAACAGACAAAACAAGATAAACACGTGAAATCTGACAAGAAACAAACAATGTCTCTATATGCCTCTGTCATCAAGGCCAGGGAGTTCATTGTACCAGGTGTTAGTAATGTATACCATGTATCACAATGTCAATCAGACAGACTCTGGATCAGTGATGATAATGGTAATCTTGTCCAAACAGATCTACAGGGGAATGTGGTACAGAAGTTAGAAACCAGTGGTGAAGATAAAGGTTACCACACAGTCACACAGGGCGGGGATCTGATCTTTACAGACAAAGACAAGAAAGTCATCAATAGGATAACACAGGATAATAAAATCACTGAATTCATTAAAACTGGAGACTGGAGTCCACTCAGCATACACTCCTCCCACATCAACGGGGACTTACTGGTAGGGATGTATGGTAAAGTCACCAGGTACAACAAGACAGGAAAAGAACTACAGAACATACAAAGGGATAACAAAGGACAGGAACTGTATACAGCTCCACACTACATCACAGAAAATATCAATGGAGATGTGTACATCAGACTATCATAATACGGCAGTAGTGGTGGTGAATAAATCAGGACAATACAGGTTCTCCTACACAGGTCAGAAGTCATGGTTCCGCCCCTATGGAATCTGTACTGTCCTGGTCACATCCTGGTGTGTGATGTCAGTAACACTGTTCACCTCCTTGATCAGGACAGTCAGTTATTGTCTCTATTACTCACACAACAACAAGGGGTAAAGTATCCCCGTAGTGTGTGTGTGGATGATGAGACAACCTCTATGTGGGGCATAGAGACACCAAAACATGACAGTGTAGAAGTATCTACAGTGATCATAATTCTGTCTCTTGTGTATAATTATAAACTGAATGGAATCTTTAGACTTTGTGATTTCCAGCACAGAAATAATTATCCTAGCTGAATCGTTTCCCTTCAGTATTACAAACATTGTATTGAACAAATTGTACTATAGTGTAAATTGATTTCAATGAAAAACATTGCATCAACTTTTTTTTGGATCCCAAATAAAATTTATAAGATATCAGTCTATTTTACTATGTGGTGAATGGTGAAAATGAATCTGAGACAAAATATGGCTCAATCTACAGTAAAACATGGTTATATTGAAATTCTTGAAATTATGTGCAAGTCATGCTTAAAGTACCTAATAATGCTTTTAAAACAATTATTCCAAACTTGAAGAATTATAAATGAATTAAAATTGCACATCCCTGGAATTTCACTTTAAGCCTATTTTATTGTAAACTGTTGGTACAAGTATTAAAAATTTCATTCCAATAATAACAAGAGATGTTTGAAAAACACTTATGTCCCCCTCCCCAAATTGGAATTTTTTCCAAGTCCAAAAGGGCATAACTCTGTCAATCAAAGTATTCAGAAGTACAGAGAGCCATGCTCATTAACAGAGTAGAATGAATTTCTTACATTAAAATCACGTTTATATTCTGATGAAAAAAATATCTAAAACTATCAATATAAATGATATGACACTGACAGTGAGTTTTTCAATCTTAATACCACTGTCCGATTTTGTCAGAATCAGAATTAATCTGGTACCGCAGCTGATTGTAAACAAACAGGCCAGTCTGGTTCCCTCTCCTACTTTACCTCGTATGTGTAGATAACACTGATTATCAAAAATCCTTACGCTAATGAATTACATTCTTTGACTTAATTAGGACTGAAGTTTTCAAAGTCATTACAACTAATATTAATTTATATTGATAAACTTTGTTTTATTTTTGTTGCTTTATTTAGTTTATCTCAAAAGCGATTGAGAGTAAGAACTATATTTTTATATGTAACTTTAAAATAGCGACTATGAGGTTGACTTCCTGCCTTTAACAGGTCGGAGAGAATACTCGAAATCGGGTATTATCCGTGAAATCGCGTATAATACTCGATATTAGGGTATCGTTGAATCCGCGAAATCGGGTATAGGAGGTGTAATCACCTAATAAAACTTAAACAATGGGATGGCGCATGTTGCCGAGTTAACTTTCATCTAGATACACATGTTTTCTAAAGGTATCACTAGCCAAGTAAGAATTTGGGCTTCAAGATTAATGCGCTCGGGACAACAAATACCCGTGGAGCTCAGTACATTTCATGATTTGCACACAAAAAGGCCTTCGATTTCCTTTATATTTTTCCTTATGTTGAAAGTAGATGCATCTTCCTAATGTTCATTCCCAACACAACAGAATTGTAAAGTATCAGAATTCGGGAATTTTTAATAATTCCACATCAACACGACAAACATGAACAATTTGTAAATAAATCAAATTATACGGAAACACATTTCACACACCAGATATGATGCCATGTTTAAACAAGGGATTGTCTATCGTATCTAATTATACGTCATTAATTACTTTCACATTCATCTTGGCATAAAATCAAACTTATTTAAGAATGTATAAATAATGTAATGATAAGAATGTCTAAAATTTCGGCTAAAAGAACCCCTTTCTCTTTTTTTGAAAATCTTTTCTTTTTTATTTATCATTAAACATATTTGCAGAATATGTCTTCAACATTTTAGCAGAGACAGTGATAGTTTCAGGAATATAGCTTTTGAGAGAACATAACTGTTGATCGTTTAATTTCGCTAAGTCATCAATATTTTACCATTTCTTGGCGACTTCAAAAGGGGGGGGGGGGGGGCTAAAGGCTTCTCGACCACCTCTGACAAAACAACTTCGACTGTGTTCTACATGTGTCCAAGATACCTCTCTTTGAATGTCACGGTCGGTTAAACTCGTTCATATATTTTTAATCGTAGGGAAGATTTATTCATTAAATAAAAATCATATACATTGTAGGTAAACAAAAAGCAACCTGTTATTTTCTAACACAATATAAGACTACAAGTAACTAGAATTCATGTTAATTTTTCAAACACATTTTTCATTATAGATGAGTATTAGGAAAAGTTATTGCCATGAGTAATACGTATCGTAGATAAAATAACTAAAAGAAAACTGTGACATATTGTCTAGAACCAATCAGTGCGTTGTATTAGCATATTATAATGAGGTATAAGATAAGCGATATAAAAATATAGAAGGTAAAGAGGTAAAATTTACCCTGTCTATCAAATAGTATAATAAAGAAAGGAAGTGGCTACGATTTTTATAAAATTTTAATGTCCGATGAGGAATTATATTCCCAAAAAGTGAGACAAGAGTTTCCATGGCAATTGAACACTCCATTATTTCAGTTTGTTCATTAACATGTTCATAAACGTAAAAACTATAAGAAATGTGAAAACGTGATTATGTAATTCAATGTATTTTAACTTCATGAAAAGATGTACACATTTGACTTTTATTTATACCCCCCCCCCCCAAAAAAAACAAGAAAATCCTGTTCATATGACTTCTCGCTCTCAATTTTCACACAAATGCATAAAATAAAGGTAAAATAGCATATCTTGTATTGATTAAAATGCAACCAAAAAATTTACGGTGTCTGAGAATAAAAATTTCATGCTAAACTAACATAAAAAAGGTACTTACCTCCAATTAACTATTTTCAAACTGTTTTCCCGAAGGTATTTATTTCATCTTATTTTATTTCCTTCTTTATAATAACGTTGGTATTCTATTATTGAAGAGATATACAATTATGACACGCTTATACTGTACTCTCTAACTGTTAGGAATAATTTATATTTCACGAGAAAGGGACGCCATACATTTTTCAGTAAAAATACATAACACGGCGTTAGTCGTTTAATTTCTTTAAAATTTCACGTTTTGTGAATTGTGCACAAATTAGAAAATTAAGTATATGGAATACTTAAATGGGAAATAAAGACAAACGAAGTGTAGCTGTTTGTTTTTAGAAATTATACTGAAAAATAATAACGCCATTGTGTCCTCTTTGTTACCCCAGCAGTGTTTGTCGTGTGATTTTAAACTTATTTGAGAACCTTATGAATTAGGTTTAATAAAAATAAAATCACAAGATACTGATGTACAAGTAACAGTTACTGGCATAATGCGCCGTTGCTTTATTCTTTAGTTTTTATAGAAAGTTGCACGGAATACCCGATTTCGCGGATTCAACGATACCCTAATATCGAGTATTATACGCGATTTCACGGATAATACCCGATTTCGAGTATTCTCTCCGACCTGTTTAACAGGATGACATAAGCCAGCAATTGCTCTTTTAGCAATAAGCCCGGCTAAAAATGGCGGGATTGTACCCAAAACAAACTTGACCAAAATATTTATCTGATAAATCTGTATACCAAATAGCATTTCAGTATGTGCAACCCCTGCCAAGAAAATGAAAGGAAACTGCAAATAATTGGAATTTTTTCTAAGTCCAAGGGGCATAACTCTATCAATAATGGTGCAATCTTATCAAAAACAGAACTTGACCTAGATATTCATCTGATAAATCTGTACCCTAAATTTCATTTCAGGTTGTACAACGGTTGCGAAGAAAATGAACAGAAACTGCAAATAATTGAAGTTTTTCTAAGGGGCATAACTCTGACAAAAATGGTTTGATCGTACGCAAAACAGAACTTGACCTTGATATTTATGTGATTTATCAGTATACCAAATTTCATTTCAGTATGTACAACGGCCATTTTGCAGCCCTCCACCCTACCCACCGGGGTCATGATTTCAACAAACTTGAATCTACACTATCTGAGGATGCTTCCATATAAATATGATTAATTATAGCTTTTCTATTCTTGAGAAGAAGATTTTTTGAAGAATTTTCCTATTTATTTCTATGTAAAACTTTAGTCGTCCATTGTGGCCCCGCCCTACCTCGGGGGTCATGATTTGAACAAAAATGAATCCACACAACCTGAGAATGCTTCCACATAAATATGATCAATTATTGATTTACTATTCTTGAGAAGAGGATATTTAAAGAATTTTCCTATATATTTTTCTGTAAAACTTTGGTTGACCATTTTGGCCCCGCCCTACCCCTGGGGGTCATGATTGTACAAACATGAATGTACACAACTTGAGGATTCTTCCATATTAAATAATATGATCATTTATGGCTTTGCAATTCTTGAGAAGATTTTAAAAAAAAAATCCTATATACTTCTATGAAAAACTTTGGTCGGCCATTTAGGCCCCTCCTCTACCCCCAGAATCATGATTTAAACAAACTTGAATCTACACTACCTGAGGATGCTCCAATACAAATATGATCAACTATGGCTTTGTTATTCTTAAGAAAATTTTTAAAGAATTTTCCTATGTAAAACTTTGATAGGCCATTGTGGCCCCGCTCTACCTCGGGGGTCATGATTTTAACAACATTGAATCTACACTATCTGAGGATGATTTCCCATAAGTAACAAACTTGAATCCCCTTCACCCAAGGATGCTTTGTGGCAAGTTTGGTTGAGATTGACCAAGTGATTCTTGAGAAGAAGTTCAAAATATGAAAAGTTTACAGATAGACAAACAGACAGATGGACTACAGACAAAATGTGATCAGACAAGAGGTTTAAGGGCTTTAAATTGCTCTTCTGATAAA